TATATGGCATTCTTCCAGTTGTGGGGAGTACATTATGGGATGATAGAGAAGTATGAGGAAGATGAAATGCTAAAATGTTATACGCATGTGCCAGTACACCACCACATGTCTCATACTTTAAACCTAGTATGCACAAAAAAGAAACAAAATTATACTCTTTCAAGAATTCTTTCCTCTTCCACTAGCATGTATCTTGTATGCTTTGCAATGGAATGGAAGTTGCTATCAGGGCCTTGAACTTGTGATGTGTTTTATCTTTTTTTCACAGGAAGTAGAAATCCCTTCAGCACAAATGAATACTACTGAGGTCTCACTTAGAAATGAAGATTCCACCATTCTAGGTCTGGTTACAGCGGGAAAGATCAATAAACTGTGTGGCATGGCTTAAATCCCAGTGTGCCTGTTTTTGTTTTTCTTTTTTCTTTTCCCTCCTCCACTGCAGAATTCTATCCAAAATGCTTCCCTTTAACGGAACTTAACCAAAAAAAGGGTATACAGATCAATGTCCATTTTGTATCTGTGTATTCAGAGTGGTTGGGATAGATATATAGTTACATTCTCTTAATGAATAGAATGATTTGTTCTAATGGTGTTTGTAAATAGGATGTCAGGTCCGCATCTTGTACAGCAATTAACCACTAAGAAAAATGTATGCAGTGTGTTAATTATTGAAACTGTCCTGGCAATTTGATTTGAAACTGTCTTATTGCTATTTGTTTATCAATAAAATTATGGCAAAAAAAATGCCTCCCTAAAATACTCAGGTATTCAGATTCGGAGCTTTTGGAAGGTGTGTGAGTCCTGGGAGCAGGGTACTCTCAGGTGCATTCTAGTGAATTTGGTGAATGTTCTGTTTGGAAGTGGTGCATGGTTGGAAGTGATGAGTCACAAGGGCATGGTCAGGAAGGATATGTCTCCCTTCCAGCTCCTAGTTTTGTTCCTTGTTAAATCCTGGCTCCCATGATGTATGCCCCTCGCCTCTGTTTGGGTCCGTCCACCATGCTGTTTCTGCCTTGGATCCTTGCCAACCGTGAGCCCAAGTAACACTTCCTCCTTTCAGTTGTGGATGTCTGGGATTGTTTCTTGGTAATGAGAAGGTTGCTAAAATATTTTGCACTTCAGGACTGGGAACTGGAGGCCATGCATCCAACTCAGCATCTCCTTTCTCACTTGCCTAAGCACTTCCCATGTCTTTTGTGCAGCACTGTGCTAATATGCCACCTTCTTCTGGTTTAATGTTTGGGCTGCCAATGTATCTACTGCCCTTACTCAGAGGGGGTTTGGATAGTGGACCATGTTCATGCTTCTGCTCCTTTCTGCTGCCTTGACTAGCTACATGCCTATTCAGCAAACAAATACATTTTAGGACTTTTTTGTCTTAGTAGTTCATAGTAGTCCTCTTAATGTCTAAGAAACTTGTAGTTATGCCCCACCCATCTTTCTTCATACTATTCATAATCATTCTTTAATCAGTCTATAAATTTAATTGATTTACTAATCTCTCTTTTTTTCCCCCCACTTAATTCTGTGCTCTAATTTGCTAGCTTAACTTTCTATTAATTTGGGCCTAGGGAGATAGTTCAGTAGAATAAGCTTTTTTCTGGTAAGTGCAGGGTCCTGAGTTCAATCCCAGGTACCAAAAAAAAAAAAAAGGTCTTTGCTTCTTGTTCTCTGTAAATATTTAACTACATTCTACAAATTTTCATATGCCCCCAGGAAGCCATCTCTTCTGACTAACCCGCACCTTTAGAGCACATTCCACACTAAATTCTTTAGTGAATTTGTTCAGAAGTGGAGACAGCACCCCCAGGGCCCATACCCTTCCAAAATCCCAGCCTCGTTCCTGCTACCCTGCGCC